TGTGTGTGTGTGTGTGTGTGTGTGTGTGTTTCTGCTTCACTTAATCTCATTTAGTAAAACTGACAAATATTGGTGTGTGCAGCAGATTACGGTTGAACCCGGTTGGCTCCGGGTTGGCGCTTTACTGTAAACAACATGTCCTTCCTGTGCCGTGCAAAAGCCCCGAGCAGACGAGCAGTAAAACTCACCCAGAATTGAACTCGGACGCGTGGCGGTGAGGGCCGTGCACCCAGGGGCCAGACGTGGACAGAGAAGCTTTGAAGTTGGCAGTAATGGTAGAAAATAAGACAGTAAATACTATAAGCATGCCACGAGCGGTCATTGAATATTTCTCATCAATTTTTATTTGCTTCCTATCCCAGTCACTGACTAATCTGACTAATCTGCAGGGATAAACACATATAAATTAATTTGTAATTGTGGTGCGATGTGTCAGATTTAGAGGGAAAAGAAGACATGTGGCCGTGATTTTAAAAGTCTTCCATGACTTAATGTTAATTGCTAAATAAACTCGTCACATCTGTCAGCTCAGGGGGAATTAGAGCTGCGGTTTCATGACGCATCAAAGCTCTGAATTTTAACTCCAGTTTGTCTGGAAGTGATTTTTGTTGGTCCTGCAAGCTGAGACGGTCTAAAGATGGAGGATCGACTGGGCAGATATGACCTCTTCCTCCTCGGCCCAAATGTCCACTTGTACACAAGAAATACCCAAATTCAGTGAACGCGTTGTCATGAACCCATTCGTGCTCCTCTGAGGATGGATCGGGATAACTCCTGATCCAAATCGCCGGTGTTTCTGCCCCCCCCTCATTCCAAACTGGCACCTAAACCTGACGTCTCAAGGGGGAGATCGAAAGCCTGCTTCACATTGTGTTGATGGTGAGAAAAAAGCAAAAACCCTGGTGCCAAGAACATAATGATTAAAAACAAACAAGCAGGGCGCCGCCAAGTGCTCTGTTGCTAAAACTAAAGCAGTCTTAGTGCGACGGTTCAGCAATAAATCCATGAAGGTTATAATGTTCCGTTGTTGTTCAAACGTTTTAAAAAAGGATAGAGATGTAGAAGTGCTGTTGGAATGTTCTGCGTTACACTTTCTAGTATTTAATCCAGCCTGTTGATGTCGATGAGGGTCGGCTCAACAACAGATACGCTGTTTTACTCAGAATTTCGGGACGTTTCTGTCGTACATTCTTCAGTGACGTGTTGGTTCATCGAGCTGCAGCGTTGCCATTGTGCTACTTTTAAAAATGTCGACCTGTTTTGCATGTAAATTACACAAATAACATCGATAAATAAAGATCCTTTTTTTAAATGTAATATTTCATTCATACCCAAATCTTACCAAACTGATTAGAACGTACACGGTGAATTGTGTTCATTTTAGATTTAGTCTTAGTCTTAGACTCAGTTTTAGTCACATTTTATTAATTTTGTTCCTTCATAGTTCTAATCTAGTTTTTGGCGACGACAACTCAAAATGCTTTGGTCCAGTTATTTTCTTTTTTTTCACATTTTAGGAAACGTTTAGTCAAAATGTTTCCTCTTTCATGTGTTTTTCCTCAGATATTGATTAGATAAAATGTGAAATATGTTTGATGAAAAATGACAGAATTCTTGTATTGGCTGGACTACAATGATGGAAAAAAAAGACAATTGACTGAAATGTGATGACTTCTCTGCTACTAGAACTAGACGAACACTATAAAGGGTAGAAATGACTTAAATGTGACTAAAATGTGGGGGGGCTGCCCTCCACATCTTTACTGTGTGATAGTTTCTCGTCTTGTAAAAAGCCTCCTGCTTCCGTCTCTGCCTCCCTTTAAAGCGGACTCTGTTAAACTGTCCCTGTTGTGTACGTGATACGGATCTCTGCACCGAGAACCAGAGAGAAGGAAACTTAGTGAAAGAAATATTCAGTTGCTTTGGAAACAAGTTTCTCTCCGCAGAGGAGACAAATATGTGGTCGAAAGAAAAGGAGGATTATAAGAACAGCTTGTTAAGGTTAAGGTTGCACTGATGCATTTTGGGAATTTTAGGCATGATTGGAAAGCGTGTTTGACATTGTATCTCACACACACACACACACACACACACACACACGCACACACGCACACACACACACACACACAGAGAGCTGCGATCAATACGACAACACGATCAGTCTTTGCTCCTACACTGATTGATGAGCCGCCTCACCTTGAACGAACTGCCTCCTCTTCCTCCTTTTTCTTCCTCCTCTCTCTCTTTCCTTTGCATCATGTTTTTCTCTCCCTCTCCTCTTCCTCCTATTTTCTCAATTTCCCTCCTCCTCTCTCTTCTCTCTCCTTCTCATCTTGTTTTCTCCCTCTCCTCTCCCTCCTGTTCGTCCTCCTCCTTCTTTTTCCTCTTCTCTCTCTCTCTCCTCAACATGTTATTTTTCTCCCTCTCCTCTTCCTCCTGTTCTTTCTTCCTCCTTGTATTCCTCTTCTCTCTCTCCTTCTCATTATGTTTTTTCTCCCTCTCCTCTTCCTGCTGTTCTTCCTCCTCCTTTCCCCTCCTCTCTCTCTCCCCTTCTCAACATGTTTTAACTTCCTCTTGCTCCTCCTCCTTCGGGTTTCCTCCTCTTTCTCTCATGTTTTTCTCCCTCTCCACTTCCCCATGTTCATCCTCATCCTTTTTTTACTCCCTTATTCATCCCTCCACTCTTCCTCCTGCTTCTCCTTTTTACTTCTCTCTCTCGCCTTCTCATCACTGTTTTTCTCCTTGTCTTCCTCCTCATTCCCATCTGCTTCATTTCCTTCTCTGTCCTCTTCTTCCTCTTCCTCACCCTCTTCTTCCTCATCCTCCTTCCTTTCCATTCTTTTCCCTCTTACCTTTTTATCTCATTGCCTTCTTTCTCTATCTTCCTGATCTCATTCCTCTTCCTCCTCTCCTTCCTTCTCTTCTTTTTCCTTCTCCTAGTCTTTGTCTCCTTCCTCCTCCCTCCTTGTCGTTCTTTTCCATCTACCCCTTTTCATCTCCCTGCCTTCCTTCTTCATCCTCCTCCCCTTCATCTTCCTTCTCTCCCTGCACTCGTGATGTCAAATCTTCACCTCCTCTCTCGGTGCAGCTCTCATTTTTAGCCTACAGTTACAGGGTGTAGAGATCAGGTGATGTCGGGTGGAGGGTGGGCGGAGCTCTGCGGTGTGTGTGTGTGTGTTGGCGGGGTCAGAGGTTGCGGGTGCGGAGTCCCTGAAGCCCAGCGGCGTGCGTTGGCCGGCGGTCTGCGTGCCTTCAGGGCCTGAACGCTGCAGCAGAGTGACTCAGAGAAAATCTGCAGCCACGACACAAAAACCCCAGAAACAGAACACTTCAACCTGCTGAATGACGAGTGTTTCCAAATCAAGGCCACAATGTTGTTGACAAGTCATGCTTAATCCTCCTTAAACCGACTTCATGGATATCTCATGTTATACTCAATGCAATAACAATAACAGCACAGAACAACTGATAACGCATACCATTTACCCAAACAGGGAACGCAACAGGAAGTTTGTCTAAAACGAGCGACCCGGATGAAGTTTGAGCAGATTATTTATGTGAATATTGTTTCAGAGATGAGTTTTCTCTTTGAATTTTTGAATGAACTTTTAATACAATTGTCCGTATAATAAAATAAAAATAAATCACATAACTAGCAGGCTTCTTTTATGACAGATTGATCATTAGATTAGCTCTCTGGTTGTTTGAACTACTTCTCATGTCGAGGCTGTTTAGCAGAGAGGGATCCAACTTGTTCAGTACAAAAACACACAAACATGAATTTCCTAACTTTATAAAACAAAATGTAATGATAAATATAAATTAACTTAATTGTTATCTGATGTACGATATCAGCAGATATCAGAATCTAGAGTATAGTTTCTGTTCAGGTTTTCACTTCGCCCCTATTTATATATTTTAAATAAACAAACTTTCATCGTCTTTCTCGACCATCCAACACAATCTCACTGCAGTTTTGTGAAATAGTGACAAAATGCAATCGATTGGTTTCGTGCACACAGACACGATTTGTCGCAGTGTTGATCGGAATGAGTTTTTTTGGGGGGGCCGATGTTAACTTACAAAAACAAAAAGTTAAGTATAGGCGACAAGCCACGCCGACAAAACCACAACGCGGTGACGAACGCCGGCCTCGTGGCTTAACGTCCTGTCTTTGTTGGACATCTTTAATGCCCACAAACCGATAGATTCAGAATTTTGTGACTGTTATCACGACCTGCCACGATGTTGGGCTGGACCATCACATGCGGAAAAGTAGAAATGCAGCGTTTGTGGAGATCAGGAGACCCAAAGAAACTGTTTGTGGAAATATCACGCCTGCAATATAATCCTCTCCACCATCAGTTCTGTTTGTTCCAAACAATCACTCACTACTTCCTGACCAACGCTTCTGTTTCCTCCTCAGCTGTCCCACTCCAGGCTGCGATGGCAGCGGTCACGTCAGCGGGAAGTACGCCAGACACCGCAGGTACGAACCACGCGGCATCTTGTACTTTCTCTGATGCTGCTCGGTCAATGTTTGTCTTCTAATACGATTGTGTTTATATGAAGTCGAGAAGCATGGCTCAGGTCCCAGATTGTCTTAAACATAACCATGAAAGCGAGATCTGATAGACTGTTTTAAAAGTATACATTTTTCTGGACAAGAACATCCGATTCTTTCAAGTTTTTGGTTTCAGTGATTCAGAGTTTCCCATTTCTCACAACTTATAATTCAAAAGACTCATAGAACAACGGTCTGTAACGGGGACTTGGGAATATATTTTCTTTCCCCAAAATTTCCTTTTAAAGAATTCAACGCCAATATTGACCAGTTGCACCTCGCTGCATTGGTGTTGCATGTTGTGATGCAGTTCCTTTAGCATTTCTAATATTTCTGCATCCTTCAGTGAGATTTAATAGAAAAACAAACATGTACAATATTCCCATATCATTCAGTTGTGTTCATTATTGTTGTCTGAATGTGAGGAGATGCAATTGACAGAAAATATAACATTCCAATGAACAGAAGGTAAATGGGAATTTTCTTTTTTTAAATAATCAGAAAATTGTACAGAATTTTCTTGTGAAATAAGAACTATTCAGGGGGGGGGGTGGTTGGTTGACTGCGGGCTTCAAACGTCTCACTCAGCAGCTCAGAAACCGAATCTGTACAATAAACGAGCTCGAGTTACGCTTTCCAAACCACCTGGATTGGCAGCGTTTGCAGGTTCGCAGCCTCCAGCTCGGTAAATCCAGCGCTCTGTCACGGGGCCGCCGATAGGAAAACCAATCAGACAGAGTCTGGAGCTGTGACGGCGACCGATGGCCGTCCGTCCTGCAGCCCAGAGGGGTCGCACTGCTGGATGGTGAATTACTTTGGAAACGCTGAATTACCAACAAACGTATAGGGGGCCGCTGCAAAATACAGTGGAGGCCTGAACGAGTAATTCCAGCTCGTGTCCAGTGCTGAAATCGTAGTTTTTCTGAAGATCATCAACTCTTAATATTATCTAATTTGTCTTAGAATAGGATGTGATTTATTTGTTCCTGCACAAATCCTGGTTGAAACATCACACAGGTGAAATATACATCAAAGCAGGTGCACTGCAGCTGCAGTGAAGAAGACCACAGAGGCTTTCACAGAAAGTATCATGTTGAAGGCTGAATATGAGGCTGTGGAAGAATTGTCTTTCATTTGGGTGGGCTTAGTTTAGGTGAAACGATCAGATTTACACATCCATTATGAAATCAAAGCACTCGTTGAGATGTTTTTGAGGTTATTTGGGAGCATCTCTACGGTATTGTTTTTCACTGTAGAGGCTGTGCGTGTGCGTGTGTGTGTGTGTGTGTGTGTGTGTGGGAGGCTGGCATGTAGAGGTTGCACGGCTCAGGACAGCGGTGGTTTGACGCCTGAGGTAACAAGAGAGATAATGAGAAGGGCAGGATGGCGAATCGCTGGCAGAGCAGACTGATGGTGCTGCAAAGGGCACAGAGACTCTCAGGAAAATAGTCAAACTGTAAAATAAGAGCTCTGATATTCACCAAAATAACACTTCTTCTAAAAAAAAAGAAAAGAAGAAAGAAAGAAACATCGTCTGTATTATTTGTGAGTTGCTTTATGAAATAACACCTTTTGTAAAAAACTGTTTTGATCATCTCATGATCTTCATCAGCAGACGGAGTTGCCCAGCTGTCACAGAATTGAAGACATTCAAAATTTCCATGTTTTTTTTCTGAACACTTTGAGGACTTTTCATCCACGTTGGCTTGAAAAGCTGCAGGATCAAAAAGTTCTCTCTCGACAGTGGAAACAAGCGGTAACAGTCTCACCGCGGGACTGTTTTTCCTTTCATCGTCTCTCGTAAATAGTCGTGCCGACAAATTACTGAAGTGACAGAGAAGGAAAGACACAGAGGTAGAGACACATTGAGCCAGACGGAGGAGGAAAGAGAGAGAGAGAGAAGTAGGTCGTCTGATGTCTTCCTCTCCGGGGGAAACAATGGCTGAATCACTTAATCAGTTAATCATCAGCTGATCACAGGAGCTTACGACACACACACGTCTGATTCTACAAAGACGCAGCAGAGAGGGAGAACACATCTGCACCATCATTCACGTCCTTGTTTTTGCTTTCTATAGCAAGCCGGGAAGTTTCCTCCAAACATTAATGAACCACATCTAACTTGCTTTATTTGACATAAGCGTCTTCCCCCAGCGTCAGATGAGGAGACGGATATGAGTTTCATCTCAGCGTAGTGCAGTTCAGACTAATCAGAGCGACAGGATGTAGATCACTGCATCTTCATGTAATGGTCCGGGTGATATCTTACCAAAAAAAGTTACTACTCAAGTCCAGGAACACGTGTCAATCTTTTCAGAATAAACTTCCATCTTCACAGAAACTTACTTAGGTTTAGGAAAAGGTCGCGAAATACTTAAGTTAGGTTTAGGAAAAGAAGGTGAAATATGGTGTTTTATTGTTTTGTTTCTTTGCAAACTTTGCATGAACATGATGGATGCCACTTGTGCGTTTATGAGAATTGTAAATTAACATTAGGAGCCAGAATGAATAGGCCTGTTAGAGCCAGGGCATTGTGCAGTTAATGTTGCTTCACCTAAGGGTCGACCGTCACTGAAATAAAAGAAGAAATTATTCCACATTAGCCTATATTTCAAACAGTATAACGTCAACATAATTATAAAATATCATTTATGTATTGTTGTCCAACTTAACATTGCTTCTACGTAATGAAAACACAGGCTTAGAACACAGCTTAATGTCACATGACTAGACCACAGAGAGAAAACTCAAAATACAAGAAGAATTGGTGAATGCGGCGAGTTCTCCTGAATCACTCGTAGCCAATTTAACAACCATCTATTCGTACAAGAGGCTTTTAAATGAGTTCCAATGTTTCGCTCCTTAATCTACAGTCAACACCCCATGACTGACAAAAGCCCCACTTCTTCCATGTAAGTATGAGAGTTACAGAGACTACTGTGCTTTTGGGGGAAATTCAATGCAGCAGAAATGTTTTTTTTTCAACTCAATCTGGTCTCTGAGCTCTGCAGGCAGCTCCTTCCACCTCATTCCTCTTCAGCTGTGCGACCTTTTATAGACAGGTGTGTGTCCGTCCAAATCATGTCCAATCAATTAAATCTACCACCGGTGGACTCCAATCAAGCTGTAGAAACATCTCAAAGATGATGCAGAGAAATGGGCAGCACCTGAGCAGCATTTCAAGTGACACAGCGGCGGGTCTGAATGCCCAAAGCTAGTTTTCGCTTCGTCATTATGGGGTATTCAGTGTGGGGTATTTTACAGCGTAACAATAGATGGGAAAAGAGAAGGGGTCTGACTAGTTTCTGAATGCAATGTAAGTCCAATATTAACTTCTTAATTTAGCTCTGGTTTTGGTCTCCACCACCTCTTAAGGAAAATATCTGCCTATTTAGCTGCTAAATGCTCCACTTTCTTCACCAGTAGTCTTTAAGTCTGTCTGCTGTTTGCTGGTAAACATCTTTATCGGAGGCTTAGAAAAAGGGAGATGTCGCTTACGAAACAGAACAGAAACAATTAAGTTGTGGGACCAAAAAAGTACGATTAAAAATAATCAGAAAGATGCTAAAATGCTCCTTAAAGCTGAGGAGAAAAGACTCAAATGAAAGATACCATTTGGAACGAGAAGGGCACTCGGAGAGCACAGACTTCCGCTGAATCTTATAATAATTTGTTAATCCGCCCAGTGATTCGGATCCGGATTCCTCGGCCCGCGCTGCACCCTTCCACTGAGTTTCACGAAAACCCAGCCAGTACTTCCCCATAATCCTTCCAAACAGACAAACAAATCAACCAAAACCGAAAACACAACATGAATATTGATGATATATTCAAACTCGCAGTTGTTGAGACGTAACTCCTGGTCGATTTTTGAAACGGTTGAGTATGTCGTGTAGAATCAGAACACGGCGTGTGGAATCACTCACACATGCAGTTTGAATCCCACGCAAAGACGTTCGGAGTTTGTCGGATCCGTTCGTGGAATATGCTGACAATAAGAGAAATAGCAGAATAAAGCTGCTTATTATCCTTATTAAACCTGACCTCATTCCTAAGACCAACATCTTCTGGTTTGAGAGCAAATCGCCGCATTTCTCCACATCGCCCTGCTGGGATCCATAACTTCTTGAAGCAGAGACACGGTTCGTGCTGTGCATTGTACTGAATGAGTTGAGGGAGGGGAGGGGGGGTTCAAAGTCATTGTTTCTTTCTTCCTCCCCTACCTTTCTTTGTCTCTCTCTCTCCTCTCTCACTCTTTCATC